TCAGCACAATGGGGTAGGATAAATACTTCACTCACTGGAGTTCAAGGTCAGTTAGATGCAGGAAGCCACAGACATATTGTTTATGCTCATGTACACACACACAAACAGCTTTAGTTATTTAACTTTGCACCCCTGAGATTGTCCCACTGTGTTGAATATTTACCCGTATTTACCCATGTTGTCTGACTTTGGTTCCCCTCCTAAAAGTCACACTAACAAATGTAGCAAATGAGAGGAGAAATCAAATGCAGCTGTTTAAGGTCCCAGGCCACAGGTTGGGGGTTCCAGCCTGTCTCTCATGTCTGGCCACTTTGCTTCTTTGAGGCCTTTCTCAGCTCATTAAACAAGTCTTTATTGGCGTGTTAAGAGTCCACCTGTGAGTCATCCAAGCTGAGATGGTAACTTCAATGTATAGCCAAGCACAAGGGTCACCGTATATGACTGGTCAAAAACCAAATCTGCATGGAGGCAGCCTCATATGTTGCTGGTATCTGCTTTGCTCTTGTAAAAATGCAATTCCACAAAACACTGACATGTTAACGTGACACTTTGCTGCCCTCATGATGGCTCTATTTCATCTATGAACTGACACTGGTGACATTCATTGACCACAGTGGTGTTGTCACTTATATGAGATGCCCTATAAAAGGGAGAAAGTGCTTTGAAAATGGAGTTCCATGGGTATTTGGTTGTAAGTGGCAGGTATAATTGATTCGTATAACCATAGCATTGACACTAGCATCACAGTGTGAGCATGTAAGTAATGAGGAAGGCTTTATAGCTGTGCGGCAAATAACTGTGGCTACATATGTTTTTCCACACTTTTTTGATGCAGCTTAAGAAAATGTCAGTCTATTCTCAAGAAAGCTTCACAAGACTTAACTAGAAACCACAGCATGCTTTTGTATGTTTCCATTCGTGTGTGCAAATGCAAAAATAAAATCACACTGCAACTCAAGGGTGTGCCCGCATTTGTGGTCGGATTGTGGGTTTCTGCTGGAGGTATGTGGGAATATGTGCAACTGCTAAGCCCTCCTGGCTTGCCCAACAATGTGACAGTAAGAGAGGGGGGATAGCCAGTGTTTGATCCCATCAGCCAACATCTGGCTCTCAGGAGGAGCTAAAGTTAGCGGCACATGCTGATGTCATTAGCGTAAAATGGGAGTTATATTCACAGAGCCATGACCCTCACAACATCCCGATACTGTGAAAGTAGGAGAGAGGGGAGGAGGAGAAGTGGATGAATAGTGTGAGGATTTTAGGATGAAGAGGGGAGAGAATGGATTATACATCTGGGTGATTATGTAAGTGACTAATATTGATGTTCTTCAGCAGTTGAGCCAGATCTTTCATGTTGGCTTATATCTGCTGCTGTACTGTTAGAACAGGAAGTGAGAAAAAGACGAGTACAGGGTGGATCAAAGTTGTAACAAAGCTTGTTAGGATTTAATCAGTTCCACTCACCCAGAGCTGCTGGCCACATCTGTCCAATCAAGTCCCATCGCCATGGTGGGATCCTGGCTCCAGAGATGGCCACAGTACTGCCAACCAAACATTGGTAGGCGACTATGTTTTGAGGACCACCACCTCATCAGAGACTTGTGGTTCTCGTGAGGTTTTCTTTGGAACCCTCTCTGGCCTGGATCTCCTCACTGACTTAATCGACCATTAGACATGTGCTAATGATTAATAAATGGCTGTGGTCAGGAGGCTTTGAGTGTTGAGGCCACTCTGATATGATAATGCCATTTCTAGATGTGGGTTATTCGGACCCTTGGGGAAGTCTTTCATTTGGTTTAGGCTTCCTCGTTGGGTGAGGTCATTGCTTTGAGGCTCCACTGAGAAGAAGCCAATGAAGCGGAAGGCCTCTCACTGAACATTTTCAACAGGCCTATCTGAGTAATGACCGCTGCACAGCAGAATCCATAGGATCCATATCAAGTCACTCTATTTGACCTTTGTTCTTTGTCTCCACTGTAAGGCATTTTGTTCGTGGCCCTCTCACAGAGCTGATTACAGCGATGTAGGTCACCTCTGACCCCCCTTGTCCTCATGATCTCAGCCACACTATACCTCTTCTGCGACTCTCCAGTCCCCTCTCGACCTTAATTTATCCCTATCTGCGTGGCGGCATGTCCTTTGGAAGTGACACGTGAGGGTTCAGACACATGAAACTATTCGTTTGTGCTTGGCTTACCAATCTCAAGCTGCTCTGATGGGTTTCAACTGAAGAGGCCAGGAGCAGGAGCAGGGGCCGCAGTGCATGATGCCTGTGATCTGCCATGGGAAACAGACGAGGTTATGATGCCCTTGTGACCCAGGGGTGTGGGGATCGTACGGGTCAATAGGGTTTCCCCCCCTTGAGGACACACTCAAGCTGTCTTGAGTGTGGAAGGAAATGACTGGAAACCTGCGCAAGGGAAAGTGTGCATTCCAATCGAATTCCATTAGCCTATCATTACTGCCATTACCATCACTATCTTCACCACGAACAGCAGGGGATGTGAGTGCTCTGGTGCTCACCTGTGGAGTACAGCGTCATGTGAAATTTCTGTGGTGGTTATGTAAATTTACTCCCAGTTAAGCTATGACTTGGTTTTATGTCTTCTACCGCAGCTTCTAACTTATTCCATTATTTTATCCCACAGTTATTCAGCTGTTAAATTAGATTACAACTCGGGATTCGGGACTGGGAGTGGTTTGAATAGAAATGGTCTTACTCATGGGTGGGTTATGAGACAGTGGGCCCCTAGGCACAGATATGCGAAAGGCCACATCACCTCTATATAGGAGCAACATACACAGACTTTATGATGGTTTAGCCTCTTTTTGTTGGTGTTTTTTTGTTTCTTTGTAGTCATTATGCATCTTTGTGTGGTTTTGTGTCTCTTTGTGGTATTTTGTATGTGGTTATTTTGTGTCTCTTAGACAATTTTGTGCCTTTTTTGATTGTTTAGTTTCACTTTGTGGCTGTTTTGACCATTGCTGCAGTTACTTTGCATCTCTTTGTGTTGTTTATGTGGTCCTTTTGAGTCTCTTCCTGGTAAGTATGTGTTCACACTGACACTTTGGGCCCCTGGGACTGTGCATGGTAGGTCCATTATGTAATCCATCCATGGTCTTACTCAGGCCCCCAATTTACCTGGCAATTTTATGATGACATTGACTGAAGACACCTACTGCCACACTTTGTCATTTCCAAGGGTGTAAATTACATATGGATTGTAGGCACTTGTCCTTACCAGTATTTTAGGAGGACAGAATTGTCCCCAACGATATTTGAGCAAATTAGTTCTGTGCACGAAAATACAGGACAAATGTGTCTGTCTGTATTGATTCAGTAAGGGACAGTGAATTTTATTTTTTAATACAGGACAATCCCATACTATGTCTGATCAGAAGTGTTTTCATTTAGTTTTTGGTATTTTACTGCTGATGAAGAGCAACGCACTGCCGCTTTGCCTCATCCAGAGAGTCTTGCGGTCGTGTGTCTGTCAGATGGTCTAAAGAGGAAACTGCCATATCAGCAGAGCAATCACACAATACACAGCAGAGTATCAGGCAGATTTTTTTTCTTGAAACATTATGACTTTATTCACATTAAATTATGAGTTTATTTTTGTTTATTCTCAACATCTCAGAGAACACAGATATGTGAGATGTGCAGAAAGTTTTGAATATGAGCAGAAATCTTACTGAAACCTATTACCAGCTATCAAGGTCCAGGGACCGGTTGCACAAAACACCCTAAGTTTTCTCCTTACATATGACACTTAAGGCTTAATTTCTCCTTAGCTGAGGGACTTACACAGTTAAACAAAATCCCTTAAAAGGTTTTCCGTAGTTAAGGTAAAACATAACTCATTTACTACATTGAAAGAGATTTTACAGTGGTAAAAGTTTCCATGGAGATTGTTTGTTTGCTTGGACTCACACTTGTGATGCCTGTTATCATCATTTCACAAAGTTGGCTTATAGTTAGATGGTGAAAAAGCCAGGGTCTTTCTTGCAACGGCCTCAGTATTCCTTAAGTATAAGACAAAGACAAGGATAAAACCATAAATACATCAGTGAAGATTTTACAGAAACCTCAAGGACAAGACATAAGGGTGTTTTGTGCAACGGATTTTTATTTTGAGGAAAGCTTAACTAGAACTTTAAGGAAAATCTTAACACAAGGTGTTTTGTGCAACCGGCCCCAGAGGTGTATTAATTGATTAAACTGAATTAATGTGTCATTGATGTAAATAAGTGCCACATGCACATTTAAAGAGGTTACTCCCACAAACAAGAGAATAAAGTGTTGACTCAGCAGGACTAACGTTAAATGAGAGAAGCTGATCTACAGGAGATTAACTATTTGAAAGCAATAGCCTACATAATGTCTGAGAGCCTTACTGCATTATATTGTATTCTATTTTTAATTGTCACCATTGTGCATGAATTTTGTGTTTTGCTTTATATAAATAAAGACATTTCTAACATAAGATGGTGCATAAAAATTCACTAGAATGCAGGAAATTAAATGTATGATGCTCACAATTTCCTGATAGTGGACCCCCACACCCCTGCTTAATGTTGGCCCACCAATGTTAAAATGAAACCTACGCCTATGACTTCTTTCATTCTGCATGACTTTCAATCATTGTTTTCTTCCCTGAAATATTCAGATACGCTGTATACAAAAGTAGAAATAGCCTATTATAATGTGAAATTACTGTTAAAATCTTGAGGTGGACTATGCAAGTGTAAGCAGCAAACTGGGACCTTTTTAGGTGTTAAAAGTGCTTATATGCTATGCAGCAGAATAGCCCCATAACAAATTACCAAAGGTATTTTCAATTTTTTTGGTTCACTTATTTTTGTTTTCATTTCGTGAACAGAGTGGTGTTCATTAAATAGACATTTAACTGACTTCCTCCAGTCTGTCACAAACAAAGCCACAGCACACGTTGCTCTGGCTCTCTCTGCAGTTGGTGAGGCGTTACGTCTTCATCTCCATGACAACCGTTGCCGCGTCCAACCTGTACATACCGGTAGTTAACTTTCTCTGGGAAACTGAGATTTCAGAAGTTCAACGCGACAATATTTCAGCTATGCAGAGGAAACTTTACAGGAGAGCTACAACTCGAGGTTGAATTTAAAATAAGGTAACGTCTGCCAGTAGTATTTTTCTGTTGTTTACGTAATTATATTAGCAAACGTAACGTAACCGGGTTGTTAGTTTGATGGGAGGCATGAGAGAAGTGATGTGGCTGATGTTAACGGTGGGACCTGAACGCTGCTTTAAATGTTGTTTGTGCTAACATTAGCGAACTAGCTAACAGTAACGTAACGTAAGTTAACGTTAGCTGTTTAGCAGCAACGGTCGGTTACAACGTACACGGAGAAACAAAACTTTAGTTGGTGAATGGTGTTGATTCCCCAATCTTCTTTTCAAAATATAAAGTTTGTTAAGCTTTGTAACTGACGTTAGGTGCTTCCATATACAGTCTATGGGTGCTCCTTGGACACAAACAAAGGTGGGCTACTTTAACGTTAACGTGAAGTATCCACATTTTGTATGTAAGTTAACGTAAAGTATGTTGAAGCAATAGTCTATACCAGGGGCCTTCGGCGGTTTTAAGGCCAGGACCTCTTACCCGAAAGACAGACAATACAGGGACCCTCTACTTAATATATAATATAATATTGTATCGCATATTAAACTGGGCAGCTGGAGGTTGTCAGGCAGTAGGCCATATAAGCCTCAGGCTGCAGTCTTGACCTGTATTTGCTTTTCAGGTTGGTGACAAAGTTGTTGGAAAAGGCAAAGTATGTTGGATTCATGTTAATGTGCATTGTAAGACATATACTGATATTTGAAAAGAAAAAAAAACTTTCAAGAGATTATCAAACAATAATTTGGCGGCCACCCTGCAGTGACTCTAAGGGCCCCCAAGGTGTCCTGGACCCCCTGTTGAGGACCCAGGGTCTATACAGTTCAATTATTTTAGAAGAAACTGAAAGGATTAAATCCATGCTTCCTTGTTCACACATACATCATTTTATTCTGCAAGAAGATGGAAAGGAAATATATGCCTGGGGTTGGTGCACGAGTGCCTCGTCCCCCCAGCCAACCTCCAGAGCCAAGGCCTCCTGCTCTGAGTCGCAGGTGCAGACTCCCTCCACTCAGGAAATGTCTTATGACTGAACAGAAAGGCATCTACTCAGATATCATCACTACATCCAAGTTCCAGGTAAAATAAGCTCATGCACTTGATGCTTCAAATTCTGACAGACATTTCATTCTGATGTCAATGCCAAAAAAGAGTTTTTGTTGCGCTCTGATGAAAACCAAGAGTGTTTATTGATTAGTCTCGTACAGCGGGATCTGACAGCCAGCAGAAATCACAGGGCCAATCCATCTCTGAGTTCAGGGATCTCAACAAAACAAAAGGTGAGATACTGTACAACATGACATTTTTACACTTGCATTTTTAGTCATTATTTTCGATACAACAATGTATTCATAAGAGAAATATAATACACTTCTCTAAAATACATGTTGCTGTGTGTAAAATCTTTGTCCTGCTGCACTTTTTCCCTTAGTTACACTTTCCAAGACTCCATCTGTCCAGTGTGAGCTTGTTGAAAAGAATAACCATGGACCTACCTCACAGCAATCACAGATTTCTTACTTCTGTCATGGTGGAGATAAACCCAAGGTCCAGATAGCCTACCAAACCATTCCTGGCCAGGTCCCTCGCAAGTTAGTGATAGAGAGGTATGCAATGTAGAGAGCGTATTGCATATACTGTAAGGCCAGATTCACTGCTGTGTGAGTAGGACATTGAGCTTCTATTATGCAGTACAAATTCAGTGGTTTTGTCCTACTGTACATTAGCTTGTTTAGTGGGGTTCATGAATTGGTTTAATTTAACTGACTGTTGTTAAGACCTGTTGATGCTGTTTTATTGTTTTCTCATAGACTTCGAAGGGAATATTTGGAAATAGACTTTGAACAGCTCCTGGCAGAAAAAGGCATATCCTCCAATCTCCTAATGCCAATACATCAGAGCAGTAATGATGAGAATATCACTACAACAGACAATCCTGTATCACCCTACCTCCCCCTAGAGGTGAGTCTGTTACTGCTGCATGTTTTTTCTATGGCATTTCGCTTGACATTTGCTGCACCATTGCAACCCATATTTAGGGGCTCATCACCACCCCACACTTATCTTTCCTGTGTTTCTCGTTTAGATATTCGACAATGAGGAGTATGAATGCCGGACTCCAGAAGACTGGCTTGCCCTGGGCAACGCTGAAGGATCACCTGATCGAAAACCTATTCCTGCAAAAGCCCTGCTGCCTACAGATAACAAGACCTCCTCTGGTAAATGACAGAAATATACTGTGTAAACAGAGATAGACATTCATTTCTGTTCTTTGATGATTACTCTCTTCTCTCTCTTTTTAAGATGACTCAAAAAGCTCCTCCCTGGAGTACAGCTGGCATTTAGTTGGGGTTCTTGACTATAGTAAGGAGAAATGTCAGTACCTGGTACAGAAAGTTCAACAAAAGAGCAAACTGACAGGTGAGGAAGTGAATCCCATCCTTGCACTGCAATGACACAGTATTGTCTTATCATTTCCTCTTGTCTCTGTCACCCATTTTCATGTTGATCATGTATGTATACCTTTTACCTTTCTCTGTTTTGCCATGCTAGCAGGTACTAAGTTGTGGGTACCCAGGATCAGATTGTTATTCACTGCTGAGGATCCACGTGTCTTTGTCGAACGGATCCAGTTTGCTTTGGACCGGAGGAAGGAAACAGAAGCTCTGCTTTTCTACAACTTGTCTGTGGACTGCATGCCCATCTGGAGGGGAACACCCTCTCTTGATGCCCACAGTCTTCAGCGTATCAAAAGACACACCCTCTCAACCCCTGGGATCCGACTAAAAAAGTGAGTACTTTCAGAAAGTCAGTGTGAGTACTGCCGTCATTGTCTCCTTGTTCAATATAATCAGTTTGATAGATGATCCCTCTGAGCTGTAATGTAAACTCATGAATGCAGTGAATAAAGTGTATAAGAAATATTATGTGTGTAGTCTGGAGAAGTGTATAGGAGATCTGGAAAGGGAGGTCAAGCTGGATTATGACCGTACAATGAATTGCATGAGCTTTGACAAAGTAGTGACGAGCCACCCAGAGGAGTTTTCACACATCACCCTGCCACAGAGGGATCCTGAGGAGGCACCACAAAAAGGTAAGCCAGTTTGCCTTGTATACATTTGTTTGAGTCAGTGGGGTCAAGACTAAACAAATGTATTAACACCGAACACCTGATATTCATCCTCAGAATCTAAACACTGTTTTGTTTTATTTATGTACAGAGTGCATTGAAGTTTCTCACATTGCTTATAAGGAGAACCAAGCTGCTTTTGTCTTCCGCTCCCTGCTAACAAAGCCAGAGGTGATCTGTGCATTATCTGAAATACGGTCTGAGTGCAACAAAGTAGCAACCATGAAGCTGTTCAATGTCACCTTGATCAAACCACTGCGACTGGAAGAGTTTGAAACCATCCAGTCTCAAATGCATACTCAGGTATTGTAGCATTGGAGTAGTTTTTCCTCTTCTAGTACTGGGTATGACTTCAAAGTACCTTTCATTTACACTGTTTGATTGTCACTGCCACTACTGATGCTAAAACAAAGGGTCATCAGGGAACCATATCAGGCCACATATTCATGGTGAAACCATTTGTTTAGAGATTAACAGCAACAGCCCCTTATTTTAGGCTACTATGGTACTGGTAAAAAAAAACTCCTGTTCAAACCCCATTCATTCAAACATAACCATGGATACATTTTTGCTGCTGATGTTAATTGGAAATTACAGGAAAGACAAACCTTGCAGAAGAGGAAGAAAATACCTGAATTTCACATGAATATTGAAACCTCAAATCTTTTTCTCTTTCTCCAGATACACACGTTTCTTAGGGATTCATGGATGGTCACGCTGAGCAACAGCATACATACCAACCTGGAGAATATTGGCCTGGGCTCGTACAACTTGAAAGAATCTCGCTGGGAAATATACAGGATGTCTAAGCTGTACAGACTGATGGCTGTAGTGCGCTTTAACCTGCAGGACTCTCTGCGATTTCTTGTGCAGAATTCGCTAGCCAGCCTGACTCAGCTGCTGTTAAATGCTTGCCACAGTGTGCTGACATGTCCTCAGGACCTGGTCTGGGGGGACAACCTTACCACAAGCCCCTACAAGTAGGATATCATGCATTTGCACAGATTGGTACACATTCACATTCATATAAACATGAAGGATGTTCCTTTATTTTGGAGTCAGTTATACATTATATACTCTGTTCAGTTATAAGCAGTGTTTGAAAGTGAGTGTGACATAACCTATTACTCTGCTTTAGTATTGTGTTGGTTATATTACTCTATTCTCCATAACTAGGCCAAAAAAGAACCCTCTTTTCCTGGTGGACTTGGTTCTGGATCAGACTGGGGCTCATTACAGCACTCCACTGGAGAATTTTGAGACATCTGTTGTTAACCTGTTTGATAAGGCCATTATGGCCACGTACGACATACCACAGCTTGATAAGGTAAAATAAAATCTGTAATAATCTAGGTCACAGAGCATTAAATTAAAAACAGAAGTGGGATATAAAATTTGTTTATGATTGATTCTTCTATCTATGGATGATGACAATGACCAATACTTAAGGGGACAATAATTTAATAGTTCCTCTCTTGTCCATGCCAGTTTGTGATGCAGAAGTTGTTCATTGGTGGCAATCCGTTGCTTGAGTCAGTCAATTTGTGGGAACCAGAAGTAACTGAGCTGAGAGAGAAGGTCCGCAATGCTCTCATACAAGCAGCCATACCTCTCAGGGCTTATGCTGCTGAATATGATAAACACTTAGAGCTACACAACTTGGACATAGAAACCCATGTTAAGTAAGTCTGAAATTATGTTTGCAAGTTCTCCCACAAGGTTAAAAGTCAGTCAGATTTATGGTCCATTCAGTATGCTTTTCTTATGAAACTGAGTCATTTAAATCTTCTCTGCTAGATCTCATACGCATGCAGAACAGACATCCCAAGAAGTGAAGAGAGAGGTGGAACAACATCTCAAAGACAAGGAAAGGCTCGAGCAATCTCTGCCATCCTCCATTGTCATCGGTCCATTCGTTGTCCGTGTGGAGGCCATACGTCAGGCTCTCTCCAAAAAAAGAAAGGCTTTAGCGAATGCAATACTGGACCACCTTGTTCTGAAACTGCGCAAGCAGGTTGATGAAGTAAGTCATTTGTTTAGAGCCCGGAAAACATTTATAAATACTTAATTACGCAGTATATACTGTAAATTTATCACATATTGAAGTGCCTTGTTCATTTCTTTTACACAGGACCTACATTTATTTCAGTTTAAAAGTGGCCTTTCCCTTCTTTTTTAAATGTGATTATAAGCTTTTGTGTTGTATGTGTGTAGGCATGTGAAGAGTGCAACGCAGTGAGTAGAAAGCTAAATGAGAAGCCCAACAACGTTGAGGAACTGACTGAAAAACGGGACTGGATGAAGCAAATCCCAGAGCAGCTCAGGAATTTCAAGGTGCACATGCATGGACTGGCTACTTCTGTTATGTATCGTATGAAGGGTTACCTTTTCAATAAATCTGATTTTTTTTGTTTTCAATCTTTCCACAACAGGATCATATTGGCAAGACGTTGGCAGACTATGAGCTCATGGAAGAACTTTACTACTCTCTTTCAGATGATGATGTCAATAAAAAGTAAGTGTAAAATCATGCTGATGTTGTGATGTTCGGAATTTAATTTGTACTGTTTAATTTGTATTTAATATGTGTCTCGTGAATAAGCATGATTTAATGGGTTCACAGTGGTTAGAGTGTATAGAGAAAACTGAGAAGTTATTAAAATCATTGCTATACTTATCTCTGCAGGTGGAGAGCTATTGGGTGGCCTCAAAGGATAATGAGCCAGATGGAAGCAGTAGTGGTCCAGAATGCGGAGGATGAGGCACGCTTCCATAAGATCCAGCTGGCCGACCAGAACGACTTTGAGGAGCAGCTAACCTCTCTACAGGTCAGCTGAGTCAAATAGATTTTTTTGTGTAACAGCAAGTTAACTTGCAACCTTGTTTTGTCGCGTCTGAAAGTAGACCTCCTTTATGATTTGTATTTTTTCTGAGGTCTTCTTATGAACTGTCTTTCTTAAACTCATCCACTCTAGATCAGCAAGTAAGTTGATGTTATCTGATTCTAAATCACAGCAACTGTGTTCACAGATGCTGGTTGCTGGCCTTGCAGTTAATACAGACATTAATCATGCCCATGAGGTGGCCAACGAGATGAGGCGCACAAGCAAGCAACTTAAGGAATGTCACACAATGGCTCAAACCTTCAACTCCAGAGAACGTTTGTTTGGTATTCCTGTCACTAATGTAAGTGAAAGAGAATCCTTCAAATGATGTCTAGATACATTTTGTCATTTCAGATAACAGATTATTTCCACTTGTTTTTAACTGTTAAACAAACTGTAAAATAATGCTTTTTCTGACAATGAAATCTAAACGTGTATTACAGTATGATCGCCTGCAGAAGCTGGTAAAGGACTTCCAGCCTTATAAAGATTTATGGACCACCACCTCAGATTGGCTACGTTGGCACGAGAGCTGGCTCAATGACCCACTGTCTTCCATAGACCCTGAGCAGCTTGAGCGCAATGTTACAGATGCCTACAAGACCATGCACAAATGTATCAAACAGTTTAAGGACATTCCTGGTAGGTGACACATCTATCACCATTCAAACTTGACAAAGTGAAGTGTGATTGTTACAGTAATATGTCTGACGTGTTCTTTTCTTGGCCTGCTTTCTTTGTCTTACACAACTCCAGACTGTCAGATGGTGGCAACTGTAATCTGCAGCAAGATTGAGGACTTCCAACCTTACGTTCCTCTGATTCAGGGCCTGAGGAACCCGGGGATGGGGAGCTCGCACTGGGAGATGCTTTCAGAACGCATTCAGATAAAAGTCAAGCCCAAAGCCAACTTGACCCTCTCCCGCTGCCTGGAGCTTGGCCTACAGAACCACATGGATGACATTGCTCATGTGGCTGAGGTGGCTGGGAAAGAGTACACCATTGAACAGGTACCCTGGAACGGGAGACACAGTCTGAGTACAGTGTTTGTAAAGTGTTAAGTTATGTATAGAGTGTCACAATGTTTGGACAGAATTGGGTCAGCTTATTTGTAATTTTATCAAGTGAAAATGCGGTTTTCATAATAGTTGCATTAGATGTGTGTTACACATTTGTAGGCTTTTCACACTGCATTCTCTTAGCCCTGGGCTAAGAGTTGACCCTGGGCTAACTTAGCCCCTTTTCACACACACACATTACTCAACCAGGATAAACCAAAGCCCGAGGCTTGACGATTCACACTGCACCTCTGCCAGCCCTTGGTTAAATGTCAGTTGAAACACGTAACACATGTTAACATTCTAAAATTCTGTTGTTTACTTTGCCCCATTTTACACTGGCTACTTTTATCCTGGAGTTAAGTCAACTTTCAGGGATAACCCTGCAAACTCAGGGCTAACTCTGCTTCGGAGCAGGGCCAGAAAGCCCCAGGCTAAAGTCAGGGTTAGCCCACTTTGAATGTGTCAGGACTGTGCCAGTGTCACTGTTTCTCAGCTGATGGTGACACAGAGACTAAGTGACTCATGCTTTTATAGCTCAAAGCAGCTCCACTCTCTTGTCTTGCTAAAGCACATTGTTAGTGTTTGAATATCTTTTGTTTTTCACACGCTCTCACTCAGGCTCTGGAAAAGATGGAACGAGAATGGTCGACAGTAGTCTTTGATGTGGTGCCCTACAAGGAGACAGGCACCTACATCTTGAAGAGCCCAGATGAAGCGTCCCAATTGCTGGATGACCACATCGTCATGACCCAGAGCATGTCCTTCTCTCCCTTCAAAAAAGCCTTTGAGGGCCGAATCAACACTTGGGAAAGCAAGCTCAGGATGACTCAAGTACACACAAACACACACACACTCATTTAGGAGCTTGTGTCTTGTATCATTATCATGAAGTGTCCTATGATGCGCTGCTGCCCTCTACTGGTGCTTGCAGGATGTGTTGGAGGAGTGGCTGACATGCCAGCGTTCCTGGCTCTACTTGGAGCCCATCTTCAGCTCTGATGATATCAACCAGCAGCTGCCTGTGGAAGGAAAAAGATACCAGCAAATGGATCAAACATGGAGGAGCATCATGAAAAGTGCCTTTAATAATCGAAAGGTCAGAGCTTCCATAACACTTCATTTTAAAGGACTAAGGATTTGTTTTTATACAGGGGTAAACATAGTGCTAGATGATAATGATGCTCACTGATGTAAACTGTTAGTGTGTGTCTCTACCTTTATTCCAAGGTGATTGAGCTGTGTCCAGATGCTCGTTTACTAGACAAACTGAAAAAGTGCAACACGCTGTTGGAACAGGTGCAGAAGGGTCTCAGTGACTACTTGGAGACAAAACGAGGCTCCTTCCCCAGGTAAGCTTCACTGAAAGTGTCCTGGAATACACATACCATTTCCTGAAGCGGGTATGCATGTAACTTTTTCATATGATACCACAACCAACAGTGAGTGGCCAAAGAAACGTGCTTTGGTTGCTATAAACAAGGGAAGCTATGATACCAAAAGGAAAACAAACAAATATCTTGATAAAATAAAGGCTACTTAAAACAACAATTATGTACAACAACCACTCTTGGTCTGTGGACATTTTCTGACCAGAAACACTGTTAATTACACAGACTTAGTTCAATTTACTGTACAGTGAATATTTGTTTGCAGGTTTTACTTCCTGTCGGATGATGAGCTCCTGGAGATTCTGTCCCAGACCAAAGATCCGACTGCTGTACAACCGCACTTGCGCAAATGCTTTGAGAACATTGCACAGGTTTGTTCTGGCTGGTTTCTTTACAGTTGTTTTGCTCATACATTACTGGAAGTATAACGTGTATACCACGTATGACTGAGACTTCTGTTGTTTCTCAGCTTCAATTCCAGTCAGACCTACAGATCACACATATGTACTCTGGAGAAGGGGAGGAGGTGAAGCTGTCCTTGCCAGTGTGGCCCACTGGAAATGTGGAGGACTGGCTCAGGGAAGTTGAGAAATCTATGAAAGCCACATTGAGGGACAACATTGACCGCTCACTCAAAGTCTACCCTGAGGTCTGTGACCCTGACTCTTACCTTGATGTTTTTTATGTGTTTGTAGTCTTGTATTGCTTGTTTGCACAATTTTAAAGTGAGGCATATATATGCTGTCCAGTTTTCTGTATCATCTACATGTGCTCTCTCGACCCCTCAGCAACCTCGTGTAGAGTGGGTGTTATCATGGCCTGGTCAAGTGGTGATAGCTGGCTGTCAGGTCTTCTGGACTGCTGAGGTTTCTGAGGCCTTGGAGCAGGGAGACTTGGCCAGCCGTCTTTATCCCCAGCTACAGACACAGGTGTGGATTTAGTATTAGAGTGATCAATATTCAAACTGAATAACACTTTGAATATCCATTATTTGTGAAAGATACACAGATTCTATTAATCATTGCTAACATTTGCATTGAACTTTATGAACACTACAGTATACTGTATACAGACATTCTTAAGATTTTCCATTTTGTTTCTGAAGCTGGGTGACTTGGTGCAGCTGGTGAGAGGACGTCTGTCTAGGATGCAGCGAGCTGTGTTGTCCGCCCTCATCGTCATAGAGGTCCATGCTAAGGATGTTGCAGCCAAACTGGTGGAGCAGGAGGTCTCAAGTGTTAATGACTTTGAGTGGATCAGCCAGCTCAGGTTATCTGTTTGTTTTGTTGCTCTGTAATTGTTTTGCTTTTCAGTTCTGTTACTGTATACCATCATTATGCAACACTGTGGGTGCAGAATACGTTTAATACTGATCTGTTACTATTTGTAGATATTACTGGGCTAGGGATGACCTGTACATCCGTGCTGTGAATGCAGAGTTTTTGTATGGATATGAGTACCTTGGTAACTCTGGACGTCTGGTCATCACACCTCTTACTGACAGGTAGTTGTTAATTCTTATGTTCATTCTGTTTTATCCTGAATGCCATATACTCATTTGAATACACCACTTCCTGCCTCTTTCAGATGCTACCTGACCCTAACAGGAGCTCTACACCTGAAGTTTGGAGGGGCTCCTGCAGGTCCAGCAGGGACAGGAAAGACAGAAACCACTAAAGATCTGGGAAAGGCGCTAGCTATCCAGACAGTTGTTTTCAACTGCTCTGACCAGCTGGACTTCATCGCTATGGGCAAGTTTCTTAAAGGACTGGCCAGGTGAGAGGCAGTTACTAAAGTGTGATAAAAAGTCGGCTGTTAAACATCACAAATCTAATCATCACAAACACATTCATGTTGTATTTTTATGTCTGTCCTCCTTTCTGTAGCTCTGGGGCCTGGGCATGCTTTGATGAGTTCAATCGTATTGATGTGGAAGTGCTGTCTGTGGTGGCACAACAGATCACCACTATACAAAAGGCCCAACAGCAAAGGGTGAGAAGCTGATTGACTAGAAATACACATGCTGGTACCTACTGTGCATATTCACAGAGTTGTAGTTTTTCTCATGCTTGTTTGAGTTGTAAAAATATCAGAGATTACACTACTCACCAATACTGAAAGCTGCTCAGCCAACTACAGCACTTTCCCTTTTACAGAATTAAAGTTGATGTCAGTCATTTAAATTCTTAAAGGGACCAGTCTTGTTGCAAGTAAAATTGGAATCAACTTTTACTTTTCACTGATTACTTTCCTTTTATAAAGTTGCAAAATTTATAAATTGTTTTTACCATCACTGCATTCCACACACATAGAAGTAGTTATATGTATGTCAAAGACAACTGTGTCTGTATTGTGTTTTTAGGCGGAGCGGTTTGTGTTTGAGGGGGCAGAGATCCCTCTCGTCCCTTCTTGTGCTGTATTCATCACCATGAACCCTGGTTACGCTGGACGTACTGAACTGCCCGACAATCTCAAGGTTTGAAATGATGATTTAATTTTAGATAGCTGTACAACACTGAGGTTACTCAGATGGGATTCACAAAAGGAGATTATATTTCCTACAGGCACTGTTTCGTCCTGTGGCCATGATGGTACCTGACTATGCGATGATAGCTGAGATCTCCTTGTACTCATTTGGCTTTAGCGATGCCAAAGTCCTCTCCAAGAAGATCACCTCCACTTTCAAGCTCTCCTCTGAACAGCTAAGTTCTCAGGTATTGTATGGACTCAGAGGAGATCAGAGTTAGAATCAGCTGAATCTCCACATCCATTTCTATCCACCAAGAAAATGTGCTATTTGTGCAGGGCAGGGGGCGTATGTGGTATTGAAAAAGGAAGTTAAATTAGCATGCGTATAATGTGACAGACATTACTTCTTTAAACATTAGTAAAACTTGAATTTTACAGCATTAGATGGTAAAATATTAGTATAGGACACATACTAACATAGTTAACATGTTCCTTATAGGATGGAGAGATGCATACAGTATGTAGGTGTACGTATATAAGAATAAGAAAGATATGAAGATATGATGACTTTGCTCTTGTTTGTATGTAGGATCATTATGACTTTGGCATGAGAGCTGTGAAGACTGTGATCTCAGCTGCTGGAAACCTGAAGAGAGAAAATCCTGACATGAATGAGGTTTGAAATGTTTTCTATCTTTTGTTTATGAAATAAAGTGTGAGACAGTGTGACCCAAATTTTAATGGAGTTTGAAAAATGACTTGTCAGTTAATATCGTATCCTTCTGCAATCTGGCTGTCTCCCAGGAATTGATCTGTCTGCGAGCCATTCAAGATGTAAACGTACCAAAGTTTTTACAGGACGACCTGAAGCTCTTCAACGGTATTGTGTCCGACCTTTTCCCTAAGACCAAACAGGAGCCAATCAACTATGGCACACTGGAAGAGTCCATGCGTAAAGTCTGCAGCCAGAAGAAGCTCAAAGATGTGGATGGTTAGTTTTTTGGAAAAACAGAAAGTATGTTTCTAGATATGCAGGTGCCTGTGTTTTTAGGATGAATAGATGACAGTATTTTGGTGATTGCAGGTTACATTAGTAAGTGTATTCAGCTGTATGAGACCACGGTAGTAAGACACGGCCTGATGTTGGTGGGACCGTCTGGATCTGGTAAAACCAAGGTGAGTCTTTTACTTGTCACAATATTGTTTACAGTTGTATTCGCAAGTTGACAGTGATTTTTGTTCTGCAGAGTAGAGTCCTGTATGTATTACTGTTGCATGTGTCAGTGTTATGAGATACTAGGGGCAGCAATAACAGCTCTGAAGGGCCAGCCCTCTGTGAGTGGTGGTGTGTACGAGGCGGTCCACATATATGTCCTCAACCCCAAGTCTATCACCATGGGACAGCTCTACGGGGAGTATGACCTGCTCACACACGAGTGGTAAGTATTCTAAACAAACCAAAGAAAAAACAACAAAATGCAGACTTATACTATACACCAGTGACTCTCACAGTGGGATCAGTAGCACTCTGCTAGGGGTCCTTAACTGAAAAACATTAGTAACCTCTGCTCTACACACACTTTTTCTCCCTCCCATAGGACTGACGGTATCCTCTCATCTGTTATCCGTGGAGGTGCTGCATCCATGGACAAAGACAAAAAGTGGTACATGTTTGATGGGCCAGTGGACGCTGTATGGATTGAGAACATGAACACTGTGCTGGATGACAACAAAAAACTGTGTCTTAGCTCAGGGGAAATCATCAAGCTCACTGATGTACGGTTAAGTTCTCACAGTCCTAATCTTTTTGACCCCGTGTTGTTCCACATGTATCCAGACATTTTGTGTTTTCCTCGTGCAGGTGATGACCATGATGTTTGAGGTGCAAGACCTGGCGGTGGCATCTCCAGCCACGGTGTCTCGCTGTGGTATGGTCTACCTGGAGCCCAGTATTCTGGGCCTCACCTCTTTTACAGAGTGCTGGCTGAAGCAACTCCCTGAAGCCCTGAAACCATTCACAGAGCAGCTCGACTCCCTGTTTGACAGATTCCTGCAGGTGACAGGGGACACATAACTGAGAGACACCAGCAGGAAATCCTAAAGCTTTTTATTATAGTTGATTATGATACTATAAACAATGTGTTGCCTTTGTTTCATTTTACCCAGGATGCCATCACATTTGTCCGCATATCAGTAAAGGAGGTCATCACATCTCTGGACAGCAACCTCACCTGTAGTCTGCTCAAACTTATGGACTGCTTCTTCAATCCATTCAACATTAAAGAGGTGTGTGCAGCTTCTCTTGTGTTAGATTGCCTCCCATGAAATGAATATATAGAGATTTATGTGCAAATATGCTGTTTGAAGCAACTGGAACACTCACAGGAGTTTCAGCTTTATATGGTAAATATTGTGTGGTTTAGGGAAGCTGTACAAGGTACTTTAAAACATCAACTTTTTAGGCAGCCACTAGTTCACCGGGTAGAATGAGCACCACATAAAAGCTGAGTCTTTGGCAGAGCCTGGGTTTAAATCTGATCTAGGCCCTTTGCTGCATGTATAGTAGTAGTGTATGCTAAGTAAAGGCAAAAAACCTTAACAATAATTATGAAAACATAAGCTTCATTTTCTTGTAGGGTGAGAGGCCAGCGCCCCAAAAGAAACTGGACCGTCTGAAAGAACTGATTGAGCCCTGGTTCTTTTTCTCTCTGGTGTGGAGTGTGGGAGCCACAGGAGATGCAGCCAGTTGTAAGCGATTCAGTGCCTGGCTCAAGAACAAAATGGCAGAGGAAAAGGTCATGTCAGCATCTCTGTTTTAGCATCCCAGTACCAAAATAGTTTTAATGTAATTCATATTGACTGTTGGATTGTTTCTTGACATAGATTAATGTGAATGTATTTGTCCTTCAGATTGAGTTATGCTTTCCAGAGGAGGCCCTGGTGTATGACTATAGGCTCGATGATGCAGGAATTAGTAACTTTAAGGATGATGATGAAGATGAGGAAACAAAAGTAAACAGATTATGTTTAATCAGACACATTTTTCACACAAATAACACCATTAGATACATTTTTGCTTTTCATGCAATCATCCCTTTACCTGTTCTCTAGGTGCAGTGGGTCAACTGGATGAAATACGCAGAGAGTGTTGTCATCAAGCCAGAGACAAATTATGCTGACATCATGGTTCCCACTCCAGACACAGTGAGAATGTCTTTCCTCATGGACATGCTTTTGACAAATAAGAAACCTGTGAGTACTGTGATTGCTGTTGAACTTCACACATCTGTCTACATACACTGCTGTTTTGAAATAAATGTGAAAAAACTGTATTTCTTGTCAGTATAATATGTTCATAGTTTAGCACTAATTGAGAATCCAAAATAAATGCTTGATGTCTAAATGCTTTTATTCCGTTGAAAAGGCACCATTAGACTAGATGTATGTTTGTCTGTGTGTGTGATCCAGGTGCTCTGTATTGGGCCAACTGGCACAGGAAAGACCCTGACCATGTCAGACAAGCTGCTGAGGAAGATGCCTGCTGAATACATCACACACTTCCTCATGTTCTCTGCCCGCACCTCAGCCAACCAGACTCAAGATTACATTGACAGTAAACTAGATAAAAGGTATGTCAGCTCCACATTATTTAGAGTACAACACTATATTTATGACCCACAATTTCAACGATGCATGTGCTTGTGTGTCAGGCGGAAAGGTGTGTTCGGACCACCAATAGGGAAGCATTTCATCATGTTTATTGATGACCTAAATATGCCCATGTTGGAGACCTATGGTGCTCAGCCTCCTATTGAGCTGCTGAGGCAGTGGATGGACCATGGAGGCTGGTATGACAGGAAACAGATAGGTGAGAATCCCACCCTAGTGTTTCTCTATGCCCGAAATATTAATTGTTACTGTTCAATACATAGATTTTGCTGTTGTTATTTTTGCTCAGAAATACAAATCATCTCTGTATGTTGAGCTTCTCTTTAGTTTCCCTGCTCTCTCTCCACAGGGACATTCAGGCGATTAGTGGACATCAATTTTGCCTGTGCCATGGGACCCCCAGGTGGAGGCAGAAACCCCATTACCCAGCGCTTCACACGCCACTTCAACTTCCTGTCCTTCACTGAAATGGAAGATGCCAGCAAGAAAAAGATTTTCTCCACCATTCTGGGCAGTTGGATGGGTGAGTTGGGCCTGCAAATATGTTTGATATCACTGGTAGGGCAGGCTTTTCAGGGAAGAGAATGTTCATGTTAGGTAATAAAAAAAAAATAAATAAAAAAAAGTTTTTAACTGGATCTTTGTTCTCTTTCAGATGGAAGTATGAGTAAGAGGGAACCAGGCAGTAAGTCAGGGACACAGAGAAAGGAAGTAGATTAAGAGTGCAAAAGGTGTAAAATGTCATTTAATACTCAACATCAGTTAGTATAGCTTGGATGATAAGAGAGACAATACAAAACTAGTCTGAATAATTGTCACACATTTATAGATCATCTTTTAAAACATCTTGACCAAAGCTTGTGGAAGTGTGTTGTAATAAAGTATTGTCTCATAATCTTACGGTTATGACTTTCACATGATTTTCATGTTTTATTTTAACACTTCTCTCTTCAATCCTGCTTTTTTTCATCAGGACCTGTACCAGCCATCCAGCCACTGAATGAGCCTCTTGTAGATGCTACAATCCACGTCTACTCTACCATTACCTCCCAGCTCCTCCCAACTCCAGCCAAGTCCCATTACACCTTCAACCTCAGAGACCTGTCCAAAGTCTTCCAGGGCATCCTCATGGCCGAGGCTGGAATGATAGAGGTAGTCAGATCCTTTCAGGTTTAGTCACTTGATCCATTAAGTACTTAGAAATTCAATTCGATTTGAAGCAACTAGTATCAGCAGTGCACTGTGTGGCTTCACCCTAACAAGACACGAAATAAATATGGGTGCCATAGAATTATCATGTATGAAAAAGTTTGAAATAAGAAAAAATATCATAAGGATTGAAAGTACATCTCAAAACCCCATAATAAAAGTCCTACTTTGGTGATTTTAGGACAAATTGCAGCTGTTGCAGCTGTGGTACCACGAAAGCTGTCGGGTTTTCCAGGACCGCCTGGTGTCTGCTGAGGACAGGGACTGGTTCACCTGTCTCCTGAAGGACTGTATTCAGGAGTTTGACTGCAGCTTTGAAGAGGCTGTGCCCTCTCGGCCTGTTCTGTATGGAGATTTCATGATTCCTGGAGCCGACCGCAAAGTCTACACACTCATAGAAGACAATGAAAAAGTGAGTGGTGACAACCAGAATTAGAGATATATTAAGGTATGTTTTTTTTTGTACATCACCAAAATGCTTTAAGTTTTTTTTACCCCATATTTTACATTTAATTTAGTTGGTGAAAATAATGGAGGAATACATGGAAGACTACAATCAGAGCAGTACCACCAAGATGAAACTGGTGCTCTTCATGAATGCCATTGAGCATGTGTGCCGTATTAGCCGCATCCTGCGCCAGCCTCTGGGCAATGCCCTGCTGCTTGGAGTGGGTGGGAGCGGACGCCAGTCACTCACTAAACTGGCTTCACATATGTGAGATTCCCACATTTTGTACAACTCCCATGCCAACAGACCAAATAGAGCTTTCTTTAAAAAGCGAAACAAGTTTTTTTGATTGATGTTTGACTGTATGGTCAGCTGTTTCCACTGATTTTAACACATTAAAAAGTCTGAATGAGATGTGAAATAGATGCATTAATATATGCAACAATGAACATTCACTTGTCTTTATTTATACCAGTGTTGCATTAAGTATTGATTATTGAATAATAGTTCAGATTCAATGGTTGCTGCTTAAAAAAACAACTTCTGAGATTGTTTAACTACAAAGTATACACAATTTACTGTAAAAGTCCTTGAAGTATCCTGTGTCCCAGTCCTCATAGTGTGTTTGTCCATATTCAGGTCAGAATATGAGTGTTTCCAGATCGAGCTGTCAAAGAGCTATGGTCAGACAGAGTGGAGAGAAGACATTAAAAGCATCATGCTAAAGGCCGGCCTTCAGAACCAGCAGATCACCTTCCTCTTTGTAGACACACAGGTGAAGCATTCTCTTATTACCTGCTACAGCATACTGCACGTGTGTGGTAGTTTAATAGCATCACATACTGGCCTGTGACTTTGCAGAACGAATGTTGTTGTACTGTTGGCACTTATTTAAAGTCAATTGAAATGAGAGCGCAAACATTGATGCAAGATGTACTGTAGATCTAAATGATCTAAAGTATGTGATGCATAAAGTAATGTATCTCTGTTATCAGCGTTTGCAACATTTTATTCATCAGTACCTTTGTGTTAATCTCACAGATTAAGAGTGAGTCCTTTCTGGAGGATATCAACAGCATTTTGAACTCTGGGGACGTCCCAAACCTGTATGCAACAGACGAGCAGGAGCGCATCCTGACAGCCATGAAGCCAGTGGTACAAGAACTGGGCCAGCAGCCGACCAAAGCCAACCTTATGGCTGCCTACATCAGGAGGGTCCGCAGCAACATCCACACTGTGCTCTGCATGAGGTTAGTTATTGTAAAAATGTTGATCACTTGTTCAAAGGCAAAAAAAAGAAGTGGTTACATTTGACCTTCATCTTTGTTCTTCTTATACCCATCTTTCCTCCCTCCCTTTCTCTACTCACACCACTCCTCTTCATTTCTTTCTCTGCAGTCCTGTTGGTGAAGTGTTTCGTGCACGGCTGAGACAGTTTCCCTCACTGGTGACATGTTGTACAATAGACTGGTTCAGTGCCTGGCCAGAGGAGGCTCTGCAGGCTGTGGCAACATCGTTTCTTAATGAGCTGCCTGAGCTAGAAGCCAGTCACACAGCCATGAGGGGACTGGTGAGGATGCTCTGTGTGTGTGTGCATGTGTGTGTGTGTGTGTGAGTGTGTGTGTGTGTGTGTACAAACTGATGTACCATGAAACACAGCTCATTATTACATACAGCTTAGTAACCTTGAGACAGGCTTATGATTTTATATTTATGTTTCACCGGCTTATTATCACACTGAGCCCATGGAGGAATACTAGGTGTGTGTGAGGATTACTGGGGCAAGGTGCCCTCTCTGATTGCAATTCTGCTCTACATTTATTTGGATTTTGAGAGTCATCTGAATGGTTTTTACTGCACTACCATGCAACAACGATAGAGTGTTGACAGCAGGCGGGATGCTGTGATGGATTATCTTTCTCAAGTAACTTTTAGGTATCTGCAAATGTATTATATGTTTATATCTTGGTTAAATTAATAGAAACTAGAAGCTGCCTAAAAAGAAAACAAAAATGTAAAAACTACCACCAAAAGTCTAAGATACTGAAATAACTTCTCAGTAAAGACAGTCTTCCCCTAATTGATTCCCCTCTCCAGACACTGATGTGTGTGAAAATCCACCAGACAGTAGCCAGGAAGTGTGAACAGTACCTGGCTGAGCTTTCTCGACACAACTATGTCACACCCAAGAGCTACCTGGAACTGCTTAAAACCTTCTCACATCTTATTGGACGCAAAAAGCAAGAACTGTGTGGTGCTCGTCAGCGCATGAAGACTGGCCTGGACAAGGCAAGGAACTGAACTGAACAAAAAACAATAATAGAAACTGAGTTTGTAATTTGTGTGCATATGCTTAATTAGCAGTCTTATCGGGCTACCTGCTGTTCTGTGTTCCTCTAGCTTCTTAGCACAGCGGAGGATGTGAGTAAGATGCAGGAGGAGCTGGAGACGATGAGACCTCTTTTGGAGGAGGCTGCTAAGGACACTGAAGTCACTATGGAGACCATCAAAGTAAGGAAAACTTAAAAGTAGAAATGTCTGAGCCATATAAAAGTCTTAAAGACTGTCTTTAAACTGGCTCTAAATTCAAAATCATTAATAGTGGGACAAAAACTGGGGCCAATATTATTTCCTTTATAGTGTTTGTGTCTGTGAGCTGGGTTTTTTTTTCAAATCTATACTCTACATTGTTAGAAAGACACAGTGGTTGCAGAAGAGACCCGGAAGTCAGTGCAAGCAGAGGAAGCCAAGGCCTCAGAGAAAGCCAGTTATGCGGGAGAGATTGCAGCAGATGCCCAGAGAGACTTGGATGAGGCTCTGCCAGCCCTGGATGCTGCCCTCGCCAGCCTCAAGTCACTCAACAAGAATGATGTCACTGAGGTCAGGGATGTTAATGATGATGGGCTGAAGATTATTTGTGGTTTATATGTAGAATATAACCTCCTTAATGTTTTGTTTTCCATAGGTGCGAGCCATGCAGCGACCTCCTCAGGGGGTTAAGCTGGTTATTGAAGCAGTGTGCATCATGAGGGGCGTCAAACCCAAAAAGGTACCTGGAGAGAAGCCTGGCACCAAGGTGGATGACTACTGGGAACCTGGTAAGGGTCTTCTACAAGACCCTGGCAAGTTTCTGGAGAGCCTTTTCAAGTATGATAAGGTAGAGCACATATGTAGTGGATATATTACTATGCCATTGTATGTATAGTGTATGTCAGTGTTTCTCAAATGGATGTACACATTGCAATCTCATTGCTATCTCAGTGTTATTGCATGATGATAAAAAAATTGGTTTGCCATAAATTTAGCGATGGGTCCTTATCATATAAAATGTAGGATTTCAGTGGTTTTCATTTACAAAGTTTTTGTTTAGTAAATTGCAGTAGATTGTACCTCCTCATACAGGCATTTTTTATTCTACCAAAAATGTTTTGTGCTGGTTAGAGGGATCTTGGCTGAAAAAATATTTAAAATGGGGTACATTATTGAAAAAAGTCTGAGAACCACTGGTGTATGTTATCAAGGTCTCTTCAGAATATGATTATTATTTTAAACTCTTAAGTTTAAGTGTTTGATGCTGATTTGTTCATTTCCTGTATGGTAGATGTATTAAAAGTAGCTTTTTTCTGCCAACAATCATTTCTGCAGGACAACATCCCAGATACCGTGATCACTTTAGTGCAGCCCTACATAGATAATGAGGAATTCCAGCCAGCCTCCATTGCAAAGGTTTCCAAAGCCTGTACCTCCATTTGCCAGTGGGTGCGAGCCATGCATGTATATCACTTTGTCGCCAAGGCAGTGGAACCTAAAAGGGTAAAAAACTGAAATCCACATTTGAGCCATCGCTATGGTTGTGTAAGACACCACTGTATATACATGAGAGTCATCTAAACATTAAAGCTGTAAATATTTGCACAGCAAGGTCTCCAGAAGGCCCAGGAGGATCTAGCGGTGATCCAGCGCGCCCTGGACGATGCAAAAGAAAAGCTGGCAGCGGTGGAGGGCGGCATTGCCACTTTGCAGGCCAAATACCAGGACTGCCTAGCTAAGAAAGACGAACTGGACAACAAGTATCAACTGTGTGAGGCCCGCCTTGTCCGAGCAGACAAGGTCAGAAGGAGGGATATGATGAGATAAGACAGCACTTCACTGATCCCTAGGGGGAAATTTAGCATTACAGCAACATGAGAAACAGACCAGAGAGGGGGTTAGGAACAGATTATAAGGCTACATACTGTACATTACCCAAAACCAGTGTTTATGAATTGAATGTTTACACAAAACCAGTAATGCAAAGGTGACATAGTCGAGACAGGATACACTATATTTGGTATATATGTAGATTTGTATGTATACATAATGAATATTATTAAGGATATAGTGCAAATAAAGATACATGAATATTACATGAACAATACATCTAAATATGATATTGATATTTCATATACATGTTCATATATATATACACACACAGGTAAGTATGTGACAGTAGAATACAACTGAATATAGAAGTAAGGATTTCCTGACAGAGACAATATCTGCTCTTAAATGACACGGCCAAACAAAATGCATTGATAGTTCATGTTTATGCATTGATCCTCTCCAGCTTATAGGCGGACTGGCAGATGAGAAGGTGCGTTGGAAGGAAACAGTGCAACATCTGGATTACATGGTCAATAATGTGGCAGGCGATGTGCTTCTGTCTGCAGCATATATAGCATACCTGGGACCCTTCACTGTAAGTGGGTTGTAACTCAATGGGTGCATTTAAGTGCAACATTTCTGACTTAAAAAATATTAACCTTAAATAAATTTGTGATAATTAGCACATCACTACGGCATGATTTTAAGGAAGGTGCATTGTTTTTGTGTGTAGGGAGAGTACAGGGTGGCCATGGCTGAGGAGTGGCTGCATTGTTTCAAAGAGCTAAGTGTCCCACACACTGATGAACCCAACCTGATCAGCACCCTAGGAGATCCAGTCAAGATCCGCTCCTGGCAGGTCAGAACCAAACTGTCGTCGGCTGGCCTTCAGAGTCTCTTCAGACTGATCTGAATTATCAATAATCAGACCGTCAGCCTGACTTTTTGCAGAATTAAATTAACTTTGTCATTTACCTTTATTGTCATCGTACTTTGTCATTTCTATGTGTGTAGATATCAGGTTTGCCCAAGGATAACCTTTCAGTGGAGAATGGTGTGATTGCCCAGTACTCTCTGCGCTGGGCTTTATTCATTGATCCTCAGGGACAAGCCAACTCGTGGATCAAAAACATGGTGAGGACACTTATCTGAGTGTTGATCTGACCCTAACTGCAGAGGGTGCAAGTGAGACGAAAATACAAAAAAGTAGCCATATCAAGTTTAATTTATCCCCTCACACCACATGTATAGTTTGTAATTACACTTTATGTACCAGTGTCAGCAGTTGACATAGCAGCTTCTATGTGTCTGTGGTAGTATTAATCCACTGCTCATTCATACTTACTTCCTGTTGTCACCCAGGAGCGGGACAATGGATTGGAGGTTATGAAGCTAAGTGACCAGGACTTCCTGCGCAGTCTTGAGAATGGCATTCAGTTTGGTAAACCCTGCGTCTTGGAGAATGTGGGAGAGGAGTTAGATCCTGCTCTAGAACCTGTCCTGTTGCAACAGGTGAATACACACACATCTATTACAAACAAAAATCACTCACCCTGTATAAACATTTTATGCAAATACCCACCATACACTGATCTGCTTAACCCACATGTTTGGCCCTTAGACATTTAAGCAGCAAGGTCAGACAGTGCTGAAGCTGGGGGATTCAGTCATCCCTTACAATGAAGGCTTCAAGATGTACATTACCACTAAGCTGCCGAACCCACACTACTCTCCAGAGGTCTCCTCTAGAGTCACCCTCATCAATGTCACACTGTCACCCAGGTAACACATGCTTTAAACAGATAAAAGGTAAATTATATGTTTTTAAACACTGATCTTATTTTTGCCATCAACTGCATTAGCTATGATCAGATTTTAATAAGCTGAGATGTGACCGGAAAGTCTCTCTAGAAAAAAAAAACAGTTGCTTATATATTATTATTAAAAAGTTTTTGGCCTTTCTCTGTGTACCTGATAGAAAACCAATAATTTCTCAGAATCAATTTAGGGTCTGAACTTTATTCTAACAATTCTGTCTTTGGTTTTACAGTCTGTGTTCTCCCAGTGGTCTAGAGGACCAGCTACTTGGCCAGGTTGTAGCTGAGGAGCGTCCAGACCTGGAGGAGGCAAAGAACCAGCTGATCATCAGCAATGCAAAGATGAAACAGGAGCTAAAGGAAATTGAGGATGAAATCCTGTCCCGACTCAGCTCCACAGAAGGAAACCCTGTGGACAATGAGGAGCTCATCCAAGTGTTGGGGGCTTCCAAGATCAAAGCTGGGGAGATCAAGGTCAGACAGTGGCAGAGCCATTATCTCTAATGTTACAGGGGGCCAAACATGAAGTTCATAAATATATAGTTTGGATGTGTTTTTTCTCATCTCCATACATTTGCTATCAAACTCAAATGCTTCTATTGCTGGATTTTGTTCTAAAGCAAGCTGGTTTTACTGGCAGGCCAAAGTGATGGCGGCAGAGAAGACAGAGGAGGACATTGATGCCACCCGTCTGCAGTATGTGCCGGTGGCTGTGCGCACACAGATCCTCTTCTTCTGTGTATCGGACCTGTCCAACGTTGACCCCATGTACCAGTACTCACTAGAGTGGTTCCTTGGCATCTTCATGGCTGGCATTGCCAACTCTGAGAGAGCAGGTAGAAAGATATAAATTTCATTACCCTCTCTGGTTGTAAGATTATACACAGAATTTTATCTGTGCAGATGGAAAAAATCATGGAAATTGGTTTAAGGCAGTGAAACTAGATTTTGAAAAGTTTTTTCCGTTTTCACTGACTTGTTTCTCACAGACACAGTGGAGAAGAGACTCACCAACATCAATGAATATTTTACCTTCAGCCTGTACAGCAATGTGTGTCGCAGCTTGTTTGAGAAGCACAAACTCATGTTTGCCTTTCTCTTGTGCGCTCGCATCATGATGAATGAGAACAAAATTAATATGGTAAGCAACAGAGAAGTTTGCAGTTTCGCGGTCCCCTCTTTAATTTTCTGCAGGCACTCTTACAAATACAGAGTTTGAGTTAATCTAGTACATTTATTAAATCTGCGTTATCTCTCTTTGGCAGGCTGAGTGGCGATATTTGCTATCTGGTGGGATGCCTGTCCAAGAGCTGACCAACCCAGCAGTGAGTTGGCTGTCGGAGCGCGCCTGGCAGGACATCCTGGGCCTCAGCGCTTTGGACAACTTCAGCAACCTGGCAGAGAACTTCACTGAACATCTGCAGGGTTTCAAGAGAATTTTTGACAGCAACCAGCCTCACAGGCATGTAAAGATAACCACTCTGTTGACAAACGCACACTTTTTGTGCAGAAGCTGTCAATATCCAACAATGTGTGTGTATATGTTTGCCTTTAGGGAGCCTCTCCCAGGAGAGTGGGACACAGAGCTGGACTCATTCCAGAAGCTGCTGGTCCTGCGCTGTCTGAGGGCTGACTGCCTTATTCAAGGCCTGCAGGACTTTGTCTCAGCTCAGCTTGGACAACGCTTCATTGAGCCTCAGGTAGAATCCCTGTCTGCCCTCTTGCCTTAATATTGATATTAAAACCAATATGTATGCAGTGACACAAAGTGAGCCTTATCTCTGTGACACTGGCTCATAGTGTGGTAATATTAACATGGCAATAATGGTTCCATTTGTTTTGGCTGGGTCCGCAGCAGTGCAAACAGTGGTTCATGTTTGGAGCACTAAATTAACTATCCTAGCTTCAGCTGAAAATAATTTCCAGTTGTTTGCACTATAGCATGCAACAGCAATGTTTATGGCTTGTTACTTCTCCTCTCTCCATCTTTCCACAGATGTCAGACCTGTCTGTGGTCTTCACTGAGTCATCCCCCTCCACTCCCCTCATCTTTGTCCTGTCTCCTGGCACTGACCCTGCTGCAGACCTCTACAAGTTTGCTGACGTCATGCAGTTCTCCAAGAAAATGAGTGCCATCTCTCTGGGCCAGGGCCAGGTCAGGGCCAGGGGGTGTTTGGGAATTCTCTCAGACTCACTCTCTTTCGTACGCTCTCTCAGACCCTGGGGAAGGGCACTGTAAAACACTTTGTCACAGAACCAGGCCATTCTCGTTTGTCTTGTTAAGAATGGCCACCTCTGTGCTAATTGTTTTCTCTATTTATGGCCATAGGCCAGTACAATGTGCAATCTTGCTTTGACAGATGTTAAATTCCAGGACACTGTAAATAATCTCATAGAACAACCATTAAAAACCGCATGCAGAGGTTTTAGGATAAATGCAGACTCATCCTCCACAAACCTGAAACCTAGTGGCTGGCCAAACATTTCTCCCAGCAGCACACGACCCCTGTGGCTGTTCAATAGGTGTTAGCGAGTGTTTATCACATTATTTGCAATTATGTGAGTTAGAATCCCGACTAATGCTGGGCTGTTACATCACCCTGCCCCCAGTTTCTGTTCACATTGAACTGAGGGCTCTTAAACCTTTCTGAAAGACTCCTAGAATGTCAAACTGGCTGTAGAGAAAAGTGCCGTATTCCACTGTCAAAATATTCCCTATGTTACCTACTCTTTAAATAAGGATCAAACTTTTCAAAACACGGATGTTTTATCTTGAAGTCTTGTGTTAAGCCGACTGTTTTTGGCACAGCTCTTGTGGTTTCTCTGCCATTTTCTCTGTTGCTGTTTGTTTGATTCAGGGCCCCTGGGCTGAGATTATGATGCGCACTGCTATGGAAAGAGGTCAGTGGGTCTTCTTCCAGAACTGTCACCTGGCTCCAAGCTGGATGCCTGCCCTCGAGAGACTCATTGAAAACATCAATCCAGTAAAGGTCAGAACATATGCATACACATACCATACACTATTATAGTGTTGTACATGTTTACTATGCAGTATGGACAAGTATAGAATTTCATTTGGGTAAATTCCAGGTATTAATAAGTCTGGGGAAATATGTATGTAAAAATATTTGCGTTTCCAGGCAATTGTCCCTATTCTGTTTTCTAAAACAGAGAGTTCCAAATATCTATAAATATATATTGTGATTAAATAATCATGTTTTTCGTGGCATTTGGAGCAGGTAGCCAGCACAGTCAAAATGTTTACCACTGTGTGAAAGAGCAGGCCAGAGTGAGCCTGATGTTGTTGAAAGCAAGGTAAGAAGAAGGTGTTTGACTGAACGTACACTCCTACACAGAGGGCTGGGCCTGAAAGTCACAGCCTGCATAACAGCTCTGCCCCCAGTGCCTCAAACTGTACCAACTCCGGACATCATCGACCAAATTAGTTTTGGAAGAAAATATCTGAATTGCACATAGCATCACAAGTAACCAAAAATAAATAAGTTATGCAATGATGTAGTTATCTTTGGGTACCCTTTCTGCCAAAGGAAGCTGTACCTTTATAGCTGCGTACATCATTTCCATGGACACAATTAATAAACAAGGCTGTGAAAATGATTTAACTTCCCTCAATTCATATTCAGTTCTTATTCTTAAAAGAGACTAAAATATGGAGGGAACAATAATGTAATAGTATTTATTCAATATGTTGGAGTGTGGACTGAACAGCCATGATGGGTAAATGCAGGTTTTCACAGGGCTGGCTATTTGTACTCAAATGTTAAATATGCTCTGAAAAATCTAAGAAGTCTAGAAATTTTAGTCTGGAAAAGTATGTCACTTTTAAAATAGAAAGTGTATAGGGATCCTGATAGTATTTTAGACAAGCCTGTCATCTACTTTTCCTTCTTTATTGCCCACGGGCCTCACATGCCCCACAACCCCCAAACAGGTGCACAAGGACTTCCGCCTGTGGCTCACAAGTCTTCCTAGCAACAAGTTCCCAGTGTCCATTCTCCAGAATGGGTCAAAGATGACCGTTGAGCCTCCCAAGGGAATCAAAGCCAATCTACAGAAAACCTACCTGAGGCTCACCGATGATTTTATCTCCTCTTCCACCAAGGTCTGCCTAGTCGTCAGCCGCTGTCCCACTGAGTCTCTCCCTGCTTATTATGTTAACGACTTTATATTTAAAAACACCTGCTGTTTTTGAAAACATGTAGCATCTCCAACTTGTCCCTCTCTCCTCCCCAGACATCACACCTCAAGTCTTTGCTCCTGTCTCTGTGTCTCTTCCATGGAATTGCTCTGGAGCGGAGAAAGTTTGGCCCACTGGGCTTTAACATTCCCTACGAATTTACAGATGGAGACCTGAACATCTGCATCAGCCAACTCAAAATGTTCTTGGACGAGTACCAGGATGTCCCATACAAGGTGAGGGAGAGAGGGCTTCTGTCTATATTAAACAACCTATTAAGACAACAATAGCTCCAAATGCAGATCATTTGCAATCACCCTGACCTTGTCCCCTTTCTCCTCCTAACTTGTCATTACATGTGTCCATTGCTCACAGCTAATTGTGACACATGTATTATCATTGTGGACAGTTTACATATAAGCTTACAGAAACACAGGCCCTTTAGTAGGAAACGTTAGTTTTGTATCAGTTAGAGAGAGAGAGAGAGAATGTGTGTGTGTATGCGTGTGTGTGTGTGTGTGTGTGTGTGTGTGTGTGTGTGTGTGTGTGTGTGTGTGTTTGAGCATGTTCATTTGTCTTCTCTTTTTGTCCTCCACCTGTCCAGGTGCTGAAATATACTGCAGGGGAGATTAATTATGGCGGCCGCGTGACAGATGACTGGGATAGACGTTGTCTGCTCAGTGTGCTGGAGGATTTCTACTGTCCCGCTGTGCTTACTGATGATCATGTCTACTCTGCGTCTGGAGTCTACCGGCAGATAGACACAAATCTGGATATCAAGGTCAGATAAACGCAGGAGCATTCGATAGATCGTGATAAGAGGAGTGCATTAGACTCGACCTTTGTCTGCATCAGTTGGAATACTCCAAGAGTGCATATGTTGTCAAAGGCTGAGAATGATGGGGTTACTCACTGGTCAATATACCCAATGGTTTACATGAATGGTATGACAGATATCTGTAATTAAACAGCATCCCTTTAAAATAGATAATTCATCTTAAAGCAGAGAAACATCATACAATATTTAGTCATTACATGAAAGGGTCAATTCACCAAGACTTGGTGACAAAAAATGGGTGATAAAATGAGAGACTGACTTTTACCAGATGAGATGTGCTGGACCACAGGTTGTTTATATGATTGTTTTTACATCTCTAAAATGTCTGAAAATAATATGCAGCATTTAAAGAATCACATCAACTTCCGACTGTCAAACTAAGTGATGACAGTTACTTGTTGTCTTTGCAATTCTGACTCTAGGGTTACTTGGCATACATCCGTGGTTTGCCCATCAATGATACACCTGAGATTTTTGGTCTCCATGACAATGCTAACATCAGCTTTGCCCAGAATGAGACCTTCGCCCTGCTAGGAGCCGTGGTTCGTCTCCAACCTCGAGCTGCATCTGCTGGGGGCAAAACTCAGGAGGAGGTACAGATTTGATTTTCTTTACTCTTATCTTTTAAGTATTACTTGCATCATGTTATCTGACTGGGTCCAGATCTTTGAATCTGTCCGCTCCACTGAGTGCATAGACGATTCTGTCTGATAACAGGCAATCATATTAAAGTATGTAAACTAATTCAATATAGATTGAGAGGTCTGGGACAACGAAAAACATTATCATTTTGTCAATCAACCAATCAAAAGTTTTTAGCTAAACATATTTAACTGAGCAATGTTGAGAAACATAGTCAGGAATTCGGTTGTGTGTGTTTGTAAATGCCTGGACGATGGCTGAGACATGTTTTTCAGGGAAAAAAGAAAGCAGTGGAGCACACTGATTAAATTGCAGCCTTTAATTGTGTAAACAGACTAATATTTTGAAACTACTGTCTTCAGCAGAGTCAAAAAGACAATCCTTTTGAGTCAAAATGACATCCTTCAAATTAATCAGTGTGCCCCTGTCTTTTGTTCCCCTTCAAAGTTCTCTGACTCTGAGCTGTGAGGCACCTGAGTTAGCCGCATGCTTTTGGAAGATGTTTGAGGAATCCTGTTTCACATGTTGTGTTTCACTGGTGATGTGCCTCTTCTGTAGATAGTGGAGGAGATTGTAGCAGGCATCACTGAAAAGATTCCTCAGCTTTTCAGTGTTCAGGAAGTGATGGAAAAGTACCCGGTCCTCTATGAAGAGTCCATGAACACAGTGCTCATCCAGGAGGTCATCAGGTAACACCAGGCTGTACTGTTAGATAACATCACAAACCACACTTCAAACCACACTGCAGGACTCCTAGATATAATAACACATGTCACTCTGCTCTGTTGCTGTACACTCATGATCAGGGCTGAAAAGATGTGACAAGATGGAGGAAAATTCAGATTATTTTTACACTTTAAATGTAAAAACAGGAAATTGTCTGGTCACATTTTGTATCAGCGTGAATCTGAAAGTAGTTGTCAGTTGTGCAGTCAGGTGGTGTGGCCTGTGTATTGAGTATTAGACACTTTACTTGCTCAGTTCTCCTTGTTCTGTCTGTGTAAGTGGTGCAATAATACAGCATCTTGTATCAGTCACACTGGGGGCAGCTTGGATGAATCCCAATTAGTCATATCAACAAATGAACCTGTCCTTTATACTTGACGTAAATGACCAGTTATTTTAAGATATTTAAAGAAAACAGTCACTCAGCAGGAGAACAAACATCTTGGTTTGGTAATCCACTGAGATCAGAGAAAGAAAATGCCATCTGTGCTGCACTGAAATCATCTTTAACAATGTTCAGCTAACCATATGCAGCTGTGTCAAGTGTCCAGAATAGTCTAGTGAATCTTTCCAATGTAAATGTAAAATTATTTCATTTTGAAGTACAAAAAAATAGTAATTACATGTGTAACCAGTAATGTAATATCTCTATTTGAGCCCAGTTGCTGAAATTGTACCCTTCAGAAGTCTCAGCCAGTAATCATAATTATATGGCTTTGTAATCACACTGTAATAATAACAGCTTTTTCATTACGTGTTACGTGTCAGCCACTGGAGTTTGTGATGTCAGCAACTTGTCCAGAGAGAGTTTGGTAGGCCAGAAATCTCTGAATGTGGCATATTTGCTGAGTCATTGGTACTGGTTAACAGTCCTGTCAGCCTCTTCTAAATATATTATGTTCCTTTTTGTGGGGTAATAAAAGCTTTTCTTTTTCTTTTTTTCTGTAAATGTCATTGTCCTCATTATATAAACAAGGTCTTTAGTGGATGGTGTTTTTAAGTACTTCCGTAATTGGTCATTTTATCTCTTGTCTGTCAGATATAACAAGCTGCTGGCGGTCATCTCTCAGAGTCTCAGTGATATCGTGAAGGCTCTGAAGGGTTTAGTAGTGATGTCATCAGAACTGGAGCTTATGGCCAACAGCCTGTTCAACAACATGGTGCCTGATATGTGGAAAGCCAAGGTGAGACACACTCAACAGTTATTCTCCTTCTGATTCCCTTGTGGGTACCAGTGTCCAGCATCAGATGGCATGATACAGCCACCATAAATTTTATATACCATGACATGTTGAAGACAAACCACTTATGGAGACTTTATAAAATGCAGCTTTTATGTGAATGCATTCTCTTCTGACTTTAAATCCTATTGAGAACATTTATTTTTGAACAATTATCTTTTCATATCATTATCTCAAACTTTTTATGCCCAGATTAAAAAATGCAAATTAAAAGAGTAATAAGATTCAGAGGTTGTCTGCATATAGCTCTCTACATGGAGCTGGCTAAGCCGATGGCTAGCTGCTAATGGTGCTAACAACAGCGACAGTGCTGACACTGCTAACAGTGTTAACCAAGGGAAAGCCAATTAGTGGGCGCCAGGCTTCCGCCACAACGTTGTCCTGATATCTTAATACACGACTGCAATAGGCTAGTGGGATACACACACAGGATTCACATGCACTGCACGTACGGCTGGACCGGCCACAGCAACAATCCACAGAGAATTTTAGGATACAACACACACAGAGGCCGCGTGACTTCAATCTCTGTTCAGGACGCTATTACTCCACTGTGTCCTCACATAGCACATAGCTGTTTGCTGCTGTGTTAATGCTCTGAATATTGTATAGAGCTTCTTAGGTAAGGTAACACAAACCCAAACTGTCCAAGTACAGAGTATTGCAGTGTGCCCTGAACTGAACTAATATTGTGACACACATCTGTGTGTTTTATGCTGTTGTGGATGAGACTTGAAGGATTAGACTTTTAACATTTGGAAATGATTTGAGTGTACATCATATCAGATGAACTTTCAATGACATTTCTGTCCCACTCTAATAATTCCAGGCTCTGCTTTCTAAGAATACCTAGCTCATTTACTGGCCATGTGTCTCTATCTGTCCCTCCAGGCATACCCTTCTCTGAAGCCTCTGGCCTCCTGGGTGTCAGACCTGCTTCAGAGGATCAGTTTCCTGCAGAGATGGATCTGTAATGGCATTCCACCTGTTTTCTGGATTAGCGGCTTCTTTTTCCCCCAGGCTTTCCTCACAGGAACCCTCCAGAATTACGCCCGTCGCTCTGGCACCTCCATCGACACAATTGGATTTGACTTTGAGGTCAGACAGTAAGCTACACTACACATTTACCACTCTATATGTGTTTGAATATCAACATATAACTTCATTTTTGGTTTGAAATGCTTTGAGAATTTATTTTTGATGGTTTATCAGCCTCCACATCTGTTTTTTTCTCCCTCAGGTGGTGGTGAAGTCAGTGTCACAGATAACAGAGAAACCAAACACAGGCTGCTACATCCACGGTCTATTCCTAGAGGGGGCTCGCTGGGATACCGAGGCAGGTCAACTCACAGAGTCCAGGCCCAAAGAGCTCTACACAGAAATGGCCATCATCTGGCTGATCCCCAAACCTAACCGCAAGCCTCCAACCTCTGGGGTCTACGTCTGCCCCATCTACAAGACACTCACACGTGCTGGTTAGTACGCACAGTACCTGAGCGTGACTGGATTCATCTATACTACAACTGACATCAGGCAGTGCCTGGCTAAAAAGTTATTTAGAGATTTATCAAATTCATTTTTTAGTCAAGGAGATGGATGAAGTGAAACTTTTGCTCAGTGTAGTAACCCTGACTTTTAGTGTGACGACATGTTGTGCTGCCCACTCTAGTGTTTGTGTGTGTCTCCTCTCGGTGGTTTTATTACTCACCCAAAATAGACTCCAGTTAGTGTCTTGTTTCACGAAGCGTCTGAAAGTGCAGCTCTGTATTTTCCACCCACAGCAGCACGTAGCCAACACCTTGTGCTGGCACGGTAGACTGCTCAGAAAAACTTAGCTCAGCACAGTGACGGGGAAATACAAGCAATTAAAATGTCTTCATGTCTTCTGAGCTGCTTTGTGTTGCTTTTGTAGGGACTTTGTCTACAACCGGTCATTCCACCAACTACGTGATGGCGGTGGAGCTGCCCACAGATTGCAGTCAGAGACATTGGATCAAACGGGGAGTGGCCCTCATCTGTGCACTGGACTACTAAATACAGAGACACACACACACACACACTTTTAAAAACTGTCTATAAACTGTATCTGTCACAGCCCACAACGATGATGATTGCAGTTGTGGTTGCTTAGACAGAATCACATCATACACAGACACTGTCTATGCACTTAATGTCTCTAAAATGAGCTCAGTGAAACCTCTGTATGTAATAAACTGTTTTTCACTATGCCACATTAGTGTAATATTGTTATGTAAGGTTATTTAATGACATCACTGGGTTAGAGGGAACCTGCTCCAGTGGTTTCCTCATACTATACTTCAACTTTTCCGGACCACACATACCAATGTAAGTTTTTCTTTTGATCTACTCTCATCCAGTACTCTAATAAACCAACCAAACCACCAGCTTCTCTTGTTCTCCAGAACAGAATATACGTCCTGCTCCTTTAAGACTTCCACCGAGGGCCAGTTGAGAAATATGACTTGACTGTAGGAGGGTGGTGCTTAAACAAACAGTGACAGTGACTGGCCATGTGAGCACAACCAAAGGACTCCTGATCAACGGGAAGCTGAGATCAGCAGAATCAAAAGAAGATCCTAACCACTGCTGTGTGATCAAGACTTCTCTGACTGGATTTTAATTTCTGACATTCAGCTTATTTAAAATATTGGGAATTATCTGAAGGGACAGCTTTGACCGACTGACATAGGTTATAAATAGGCGGGTGTCTGTGAGAGAAGTAGTTACTGTGTGATTAATACAAATGTAACTTGTTTCATAAGCTTCATTGTAGGTACAGTGAGTTAGTGTGTGGGGTTCACACAGAGGCTGCGGTGCCCAGGACAACCAGACGCGCCAGCAGTGCTCAAGGATTCCTCTCAGCTTTACGCACTTACCGGAGGACAGCCGGCGTCATCGCATTGCTCTGGTGAATTACTAACGCTTTCTCGTCCAGAGTACAGCTGGTGGCAACAAGCCGGTGTGACCATGCTACAAAATGGAAACGGAAAAGAGACGCCGCTGCAAGCGCCAAAGGCTGAGGCAGAGCCGGACTCCCCGGCTGACGACCCGAAACAGCAGCAGGAGCAGAAGGAGCCGCAGCAGGAGCAGCAGGAGCCCGCTCCCCCAGCTGCCAACAGCGAAGCTACACACTTCGCACTGCCCGCTCATCCCAAACTGGACATAAAGCGCAACGCAGTGACGGACGATTATAAGATCTCCAGTCAGGTTCTGGGCTTAGGGATCAATGGGAAAGTGCTTCAGTGCTTCAACAAGAAGACTGGAGAGAAGTGCGCACTGAAGGTACTGAAGTCACCTGACACTCACTGTTTATGTATGTTATAAAGAAGTCAGTAGGAGGATAGACCCCCTCAGGCCAGTGTACACACCTCATAAATAAACTTAAACAAGTCAATTCAGTTCATTAAATCAAAGAAGTTAAAGGTATGCACTGCAAAATGTAATGCTCATTGTGTTTCCCAAATGATCGTACTTTGATTTTTTTTTAGTCTACTTCTGTGTTTACAAATATCAAGTTGATAGATTAAATGTTTTACAGTGTCTGGAAATAGTTTGACTTTCTGTCTGGCAGTGGTGGGATGTAACTAAATACATTTAGGCTCCCAAATTACTGTACAATTTTGAGGTTAGAGGGAAATATTGTATGATTTTACTCCACTACATTTATCAGACAGTTTTAGATATGTGTTACTTTGCAGATTCAGAGTATTAACACACAATTTGAATATGAACAAATTAATTATGTTATATTAATATAGAATAAACTGTCCAGAAGTATAAAAAGTCATTAAAATTCCTCCACCTTGACCAGCTGCAACGTAAAAGTGATGAGCACATGAATGCATTGCTAATTATTATCCAGTAATATATGCATTATTCTGAAATGGGCCATTCTGCACAATGAGTACATACACTTTCAGTACTTTAGGTATATTTTGATGGTAATACTAATGTACTTTTACTTAAGTGAGATTGTGAATGCATTACTTTTACTTGTAACAGAGTAAATTTACACTGTAGTATTACAATTTCATTTAAGTAAACGATCTGAAGACGTCTTCCTACACTGCTGTCTACTGTCCAAACCTGTCAGTCAGTTTGGAGTAAACTGTAGAGGAGTGTTTTGAGTATTTAATTTTGGTGGTGGATCGACACCTGTTTAGTTTTAGACCGCAATCCTTTAAAGCAAACAGTTGCAAGTTTGTTATGTAGGCTACAAGGATGAAGTATTGATACCTGTCTAAAAAGTCTGAGGCCAAAAGTCTAGAAGAACTTTGAATGTTATTGAGGTCAGATCTGTGTCACACATATATAGGACTACTGATGGTAATAGTGACGAAGAAAACCTGTCTTTGTGCGTGTGAGTAGCTCTTCAGTCACCATGCACTTACCTACACTCATTATGCTGTGTCTGTATTTTTTCAAAGATTATGACTGTATTTCGAGGACATGTATGCATGTATGTGCACCTGCTGTTAACATTGGGCACTGCACATGTTGCCCTCGGAGCTCACATGCGCTACATGTGGACAGGCTAAACATGAACATGGAGCTGTGTTTCATGGAATTTTAGCCTATCATTAGAGCAGATGCAGGTTCAGGGGTGTACAGTCACCCAGCCGTACGTCATGACATGTTACACTGCTTCATAGAGACACGTGGATTTTGACAGTGACACCTTGTTCTGGGAGCAGCGGAAACTTGGGCACGCCTTCATGCATGCATAAAAAGGCACACAAGCATGGGTCGTGTGGCTGTCACCACCCGGGCACAGACTTGGAGAGATTTATGGGCTTACAGTAATCCATCTGGATCTGAAGTGCCAAACCAGGCAGCAGCGGTGTCACAAGCAGAGCTGCAGACCCAGGCTCTGGGATAGAAAGAGTAACACAGGATGAGAAAGAGAGATAAACTGCAGCAGAAAATAGGACGCCACAAACAGAAGATGAAAGGCCCAAAGGGTTGGGATGCTTGATAGCATCATGTCAAACTGAGGGGGAGAAAAACACAGTGACAGTTTAGAAATGACAGCACAGACAGTGATAGTATGGAGGTCCATCCCTGCTAGTGTGATGAAAAATAGATCCTGCAAGTCGCAACCTTCTCGCAATAATGAGTTAGTATCTCAAAATAATGAGAAACAATACTATTTTGAGATACACATTTTTGAGATAACAAATTATTTTGAGTTATTAACTCATTATTTTGAGATACTAACACTTTTTTGGGATACTTATCTACTATTATGTCATCAGACCCATTATTTTAAAAAGTATGTCATTATTTTGACATACTAACTTATTATTTTGAGATACTAACTCATTATTTTGAGATATTAATTCATTATTTTGAGATATTAATTCATTGTTTTGAGACACTAACACGTTATTTTGAGATATTAATTCATTATTTTGAGATACTAACACATTCTTTTGAGACACTAAATCATTATTTTGAGATACAAACTCATTGTTTTGAGATATTAATTCGTTATTTTGAGACACTAAATCATTATTTTGAGATACGAAATCATTATTGTGAGATATTAATTCATTATTTTGAGATACTAACTCATTATTTTTGAGACACTAACACATTTTGAGATACTAACACATTCTTTTGAGACACTAACACATTATTTTGAGATACTAACACATTACTTTGAGATACTAACTCATTTTGAGACACTAACTCATTATTTTGAGATATTAATTCATTATTTTGAGATACTAACACATTATTTTGAGATACTAACTCATTATTTTGAGATACTAACACATTACTTTGAGATACTAACTCATTTTGAGATACTAACACATTATTTTGAGATACTAACTCATTATTTTGAGATACTAACACATTACTTTGAGATACTAACTCATTTTGAGACACTAACTCATTATTTTGAGATATTAATTCATTATTTTGAGATACTAACACATTATTTTGAGACACTAACTCATTATTTTGAGACACTAACACATTACTTTGAGATACTAACTCATTTTGAGATACTAACACATTATTTTGAGATACTAACTCATTATTTTGAGATACTAACACATTACTTTGAGATACTAACTCATTTTGAGACACTAACTCATTATTTTGAGATATTAATTCATTATTTTGAGATACTAACACATTATTTTGAGACACTAACTCATTATTTTGAGACACTAACACATTATTTTGAGATACTAACTCATTATTTTGAGACAGTAACTCATTATTTTGAGATACTAACTCATTATTTTGAGACACTAACACATTATTTTGAGACACTAACTCATTATTTTGAGACACTAACACATTCTTTTGAGACACTAACACATTATTTTGAGACACTAACACATTATTTTGAGATATTAACTCATTATTTTGAGATACTAACACACTATTTTGTGATCAAAGTCATTATTTTAAAAAAAGTAGCTTATTATTTTGAGATAATTACTCAAGATTTTGAGAAAGTTTCTTATTAAGTTTCCATCACACAAGCAGAATTGGGCTTCCAAAGTAGTATATGTTACCAAAAAATCGTAAAACTAATTTGTTAGAAAACACTGATCTGTTTACATGTTGCGACAGCACAAGAGAGTTTTGTAGAAACATACTGTGGGCTATTAAGAGAAGGTGTTGATTTGTGAAAATGTTGGTTTGTGTAGTCACTTATAACTGCTGACTGCATCCATAACAGCATCACCTGGTGCTCGACAGACTGAAGCATCCTCCAGGGAGAGCAGGTGGGAGAGCCCCCAGCTTTAAGTAAACACCACAAACCCACTACTCTCAATGTCTGAAACCCGTTTGTCTTTGAGGACCCTATTTAAAGCTTTAAGTGATGACACAGGTCACGCTCATGAAATCACAGTTTGTCTTCTCTATAGCAGCTCTTACTGGTGTCTGTGTTGGTTTGCTTGTGAATTGGATTGTACTGGACAAAGTGACAGTGTTGTTTTTATTCTACTGTATTGCCATTCCAACTCTAATTTACAACTTTCCCTGTATTTCTTTAATCTAAAGGCAAATAGAAAGCTAAAACAATAATTGAAATAATCGAGAGTGTTTGATGTGGAGGGGGGCGGGGTGAAGAGAGTTGACCAGCTCACTGGCTTTTTAATTAAGTGTTGCTCTAAGCGCTAAACGTAATGGATGAGTATAGGTTTAATCCACTTTGCAGCAGAGCTGGAGGGCAGCCATCCTGTTAATGTAATTCACTTAGAGTCATAAGAATTCTTTTAACTTGAATTTGTCTGACTCCTGGGAGGAGAGGGACCTGGAAGAGCACCGTGGCGTACGATAGTCCTCTTGAGCACCCCCATTAACTGCTAATACCATTGGAAGCACATATCTGGCCGGTGATTGTTCCAT